AGAGAGAGAGAGAGAGAGAGAGAGAGAGAGAGAGAGAGAGAGAGAGAGAGAGAGAGAGAGAGAGAGAGAGAGAGTTCGGGGCAGGCAACGCGCTCTGTGTCCCTGGGTGGCAATCAGGTCGGAATTGGCGAATGGAGGATCAGGACGGGTCCCGATGGGTGGTAAAGTGATTGGAATGGACCGATCAAGGATCCCACACGCGTGTGGACAGTCGAGATGGGGAGATGAAGGGGTGGTATGGGTCGCGATGGGTCGGGATGGGTGGCAGACAGGTTGGGATGGACCGATTGAAGATCCCAAGGGCCGAATGGACAGTCGGGATGGGGGCAGGAAGGGATGGGATGGGTGCAGGGATGGAACAATGAAGGGCAAGGATGAGTGGGGAGGTGACCCGGAGGTCATATGCATGACCTCCATGATGATTGGATGATAAAAAAAAAAAGGGTCGGGAAACCGATTGCAATGGGACCGAGATGAGTTGGTATGGGTCAGGATGGCTAGCAGGGGGATTGGGATGGACGCATCGAGGATTCCCATGGGTGAATGGACAGCCTGGATGGGGGTAGGAACAGACGGGATGGGTGGTAGATGGGCAGGGACGGACAAATGGAGGGTGAGGATAACCGGGCAGACAGATCAGCACAGACTGGTCAAGAATTTCCAGGGCCGAATGGACAGTCGCGATGGGGGCAGGAAGAAACGGGATGGATGCTGGGTTGGCATGGACGGACGGATGGAGGCTGAGGATGACCGGGCAGGTCATGTCCATGGTTAGCGAATGATTAAAACAAAAAAAAGGAGGATCGCGATGGTCGGGGATAAGTGGTAAACTGATTGGAATGGAACCGAGATAGTGTAGGTAAGCAGCCAGTTCAGTGTATACCGAAGGCAACGACCTACTGCCAAATGAGCATCGGGGTACACACACTTGGGTTAGCAGGCTCATTAGTCGTTGTAGCAGTGGCAATTGATGATTGATACTAAGCCACGCAGCCGATAGTCTGACCCCTACAGCGGTTACTCCGAGAAACAAGGTGTAGGTAAGCAATCAGTTCAGTGCATACCGAAGGCAACGACCTACTGCCAAATGAGCATCGAGGTACGCACACTTGCGTTAGCAGGCACATTAACCATTGTAGCACCGACGGTTGATGATTGATACTAAATAACGAAGCCACACAGCCGATGGTCTGACCCCTATGGCGGTTTACTGCGAGAAACAAAGTGTAGGTAAGCAATGAGGTCAGTGTATACCAAAGGCAACGACCCCCATGCCCATTACTATGTGCGGATGTCGAGTCCATCGGACACAAGCTTCCTTTTATAATTATATAATAATAATAATCATTCTTATGATTACTGTTATTATATTTAATAAAATTAATGTTATTTAAACTCATTTTATGATATTATGATGAGTAATTTATTCTTATTATGCTATAGCCTGTAAGGCTATAAGGCTATAAGCCCTGTTTTCTTTCTCTTCTTTTTCTCGTTTTTCTTTTCCTTTTGATGTTGATGATGGCGTATGAACATGGGTATGCGTGCAGGCCATATACAGGTCCTCGCAAGATATGTGTGCGGAGCAGTGGCAGACAACCATGCTTTGTGCAGAGGTGAGATGATATCTAAGGCTCACACTCACACCCGTGTTGGTCATAGACCCAACCAACACTGATCAGGGGTTTCAAGCGGACTATCACAGTCAGTTGGCAGAGTGTTGGCCATAGCCACTGCGGACCTACTCGATGGGGGGTGGGGGAAGTAGATGGGAGGCGCAGCTACTGGCAAAATGCTCTGTGTTTGCATTGCCCTGGCGAACCCACCTTACTCCCTGACCACTGCCGATTAGGGCGGCAATATGCATCCCCTTAATTGTGAGAGGTAGCTATGCTTGCAGGGGTCCCTGTATAGGCTTAGGAGTAGTGGTAGGTGGATAGTGAAAGGTGAAGTTGAGAGAAGAATATGTGAGGATTGAGCCCTCAAGAAGGGGCCTTGCCGTGATGTACATGTTCTGGGCTAAGGCCCCCAGCAAGCCTCGTGCCCGCCCTAAGTGAAGGCGGGCCAGCAAATCAACAAGAGCCCTCTGTGCAAACATTCACGAAGTGGGGTCCATACAGTTGCAGCACGCCAGTTGATTGGAGGGCACCGAGTTTCGGATTTCTGCAAATACAGAAATCCCAGGGCCTTTGCAGTTGGTTAGGCCCTGGGCACAAAAACGTGAGGCCGACATTGCATACTGGAAATAGAGGYCGAAAATGCCAATGGGATACCTGAATCTGGACGCAGGCCTGGATGAAAGAGGCACAACTGTACKGYGCGGGCCCCAACTGCATTGGGCCTGGGTACAGGTACTGGGSCCCAGGCGCAGGCTCAAGGGAGGCCGCCCACACRCAASAMTGGCATATAGGCAAGCAGGGCGAGTGGGCAAGGATCTTGGCCAGTGCGGGCAATGCCGGCATGCTGCGCGAACGCGAGCTGCTGCGCTGCGCTAAGGCGGAGGGAGCAGGCTAGCGCTAAAGCGGTAGGGCGCTGCCTGTGTGCGCAGGGCGCTGGCGGCCATAGCCGGGCTGCCTGAGGGCGCAGGGGAGGTGAGGGCGAAGGTGGTTCTTCGGAGGTGAAGGGCGCTGTGGGATAACAAGGGAGAGTGTGGGTGAAGGAGGGGACGTACCTGGTGGAGGTGGAGGTCGGCATTGGTGTTGACATCATCACTTGCTGGTAGTCAAGTTGTCTGGTTGCTGTCATACTGTAGTTGTAGTGATAGGTTGTAGAGTAGGTAGGGCGCCAGGCGCCATTCAGGAGAGAGAGCTACATTGGGTTATGCTGTTGGTGTTGCCCTGTTGGGCTTGGACATTGACTCACGATTCTTCTGTATCGTTCTCAAAYGGATGGWTACTCGGTTCCATTGTGCTATCTGCTCTTGCTTTGACTACTTGGACTTCAGTGTGATTTTGCATTCTGGATTTCTGTGCTTCGTCCATATTCATGTTCCTTGCAA